CGCCGCCGCCGCCGCCGCCGCCGCCACCACCACCACCATCACCACCGCCCAGCCCCTAAATAAATTTTAACCTTATAACACATTCTTCAGAAACACAAACTAAACTAAGGCAGCTCATTATCAACAATCTAACCCTACTGAAAATACTTAGGAATATACAAAGGAGGAAGGGTAATGTGCCAGTTCTGAGAGCACAGGGAAGAATGAATTTTATAATAGTGACTGAACAAGGAAGCGAGGAAGGAATCATAGTAAAGCAGGAAACACCTGATGTTATAGGGGAGAAAGTAAAGAGTACACAATTAACCAACTTTGAAAAAATCAAGAAAATTATAGGAATTAGAAATATCTGTCAATATTAACTTTAAATGCAAAATAGCTTCATTCATCAATAAAGAGATGCAGACTGCCTGGCTGGATTAAAAACAACAACAACAACAGAGATGTGGTGGTATTGTGTTCCCCGAAATAGTGTGCATGCTAATAAACTTATCTGGGGTCACAGAACAGAACAGCCACAATATTAAACATAGAGGATAGGCAGTGGTAGCACATGCCTTTAATCCTAGCATTCCAGAGGCAGAAATCCCTCTGGATCTCTGTGTGTTCAAGGATACAGCCAAGAATGGTGACTCACGCCTTTAATCCCAGGGAGTGATGGCAGAAAGCAGAAAGGTATATAAGGCGTGAAGATCAGGAACTAGAAGCTTTAGGCTGGTTAAGCTTTCAGGTTTTGGAGCAGCACAGTTCAGCTGAGATCCATTTGGATAAGGACACAGAACCTTCTAGTCTGAGGAAACAGGATCAGCTGAGGAATTGGCAAGGTGAGGTGGCTGTGGCTTATTCTGCTTCTCTGATCATTCAGCGTTCACCCCAATACCTTGCTCCAGGTTTGATTTTATTAATAAGACCTTCTAAGAATTCTGCTACACAGAGGCAGCTAATTTTGTCTCTAAGAAATACACCTTACTAGTAAAAGTACCAACAGACTTGTGAAGAAGGAAATAGGGGTGAAATCCTGTTCACAATAGCTTCCAAATAAAACACAGTAAAATAAAATAAAATAAAATAATAAATGAAATAGCTAGAACTAAACAAGGAGGAGAAAATTTTTACAGTGAAAACAGTAAGACCCTGAGGAAGGAAACCAAAGGAGGCCCTGGAGGACAGAATGCTAACCCATGCTCACGGATGAACAGGATTAATGCCGTGAAAATGGTTATATTAAGTTATATCTTATCTATATTTGAATATTCCGAGGTTTTTTCTCTTATCTCAACGAAATCTCATCAAAATTCTAATGAAATTCTTCACAGATCTAGGAAAAGAAACCCCAAATTTATGTGGAACCATGAGAAACCCCAAAAAGTGATAGAAACACTTAGTAGAAAGAGAAATGCTGAAATATTCACAATACTTGATCTCAAATTATATCCCAGAGCAATAGTAACAAAACCAGTATGGTACTGGCACAAAAGTAGAAATACAGTCCAGTATAATAAAATAGAAAAACCAGAGGTAAATCTGCAAAGCTGTAACTCCTTTAATCTTGACAAATTGTCAAAAAAAAAAAAATGGAGGAATAGAAAAGCTCCTTTAACACACAGTGCTTGTAAAACTGGATTTCACCCTGTAATGGTGAAATGGTTCACTTCTCTAATCCTGCACAGAGACTAATTAAAAATGGATCAAGACTTAAACCTTGAACGTGTTAGAGGAAAACAATAAGAATACTTGATACCAGCATAGACAAGGATTTTCTGAAAAGTCCAGTGGCACAGAAAATTGAGAAATGGTCTTAGACAAAATTTAGATCTACACAGCAGAGGAACTAGCCAGCTGAATGAAGAGACTGCCTCTAGGTGGGAAAATCATTGTCAACTCTATAGCTAACGAAGGATTGACATCAAAGGTATATAAAGGATTATAAAAACATAATCCCCAAACCTACTTCATACAACCCACAGATGGATGAATGAAATAGGCAGACAGTCCTCAACTGAGGAAATGTTGGAAAAATGTTCAATATCCTTAGAGATCAGGAGAATGCAAATGTAAACTACCTTGTTCTGGCTAGCTGCAATCTGAGTGGCTATCATCAAGAGAAGAAATCTAGCTTCAGTATTCACAACTGCAGGAAATGGAGCCAACTTAGGTGTCCATCAAGGGGTGAATAAAGAAACTGCGATACATAAACACAATTTAATTTTGTGGAGCCATCAGGAAAAATGAACTTATGATATCTTCAGGAAAATGAACATAACTGAACATAACTGAAAATCATTACGTGTAGTGATATAAACAGATGAAGTAAGACAGATAATCACATCTTTATGTCTCTCTCTGTTTCTCTGTTTTTGTTTCTCTCTCTCTCTCTGTCTCTCTCTGTCTCTCTCTGTCTCTCTCTGTCTCTCTCTCTCTCTCTCTCTCTCTCTCTCTCTCTCACACACACACACACACACACACACACTAGAACATACTTTTAAAGACTGTGGCTTGCCAGTGAAATTCTGTTATTTCAATATTGCCAAGTGTGAAAAAAATATTTACCATCTGCACCAACTGTTCAAGTCCTAAATTGAATAAACATTTGATTTTGTTTAGAAAGATTTAACTTTTGGAAATAGTTTTTTAATTCAAAGTTAATTACCACTCATTGTAAAAATTCAAAACAAGTAAAAGTTTACATAAGAAAAACAAATCACTTATTCTCTGAATACATGCCTACTGTTAGCCTTTGAGTGATATTCGTCCAGACTTTTAGAGTTTACATGTTTTTATGGAATTTTGTTTAGCCTCAGAAGAGGCAAAGGATGGTACTATCTATCCTATCTGCCATGTTAATGGAGGTAGTTTTTAGGAATCTAACAGTGTAATGCAAATTAAAAGAGAATTAAAAGGAGCAGGTGCAGGACCAGCTGCCACACCTCCTTGTTTAGACTTCCTAATGAATAGCTACCATTAGTGAGATGCAGCTTTGCCTCCCCTCCACGTCTTTAGTCTAGTCCCCTGCTCCTGCAAGAAACGGTGTGACTGATGGAGAATGGAAGTGTCAGGAACTCAGAGCTGGCG